CTCTTTTCAGTCTCTTTGAGGTACAGTACCCCAAGGTAAGGTCTTGAGTCTTCTTTTTCTGTGCTTTGTAATGGCTTTAAAAATCATGCACATGTCAAAGATTCATTAAATTATATATCCAGTTCTCTGCTGTCCTGGAAATACAGGTAAATACGTTTTTTATAAAATACCCCAAACCCCACTCAAACTCATTTCTATCAAGTCTCAACTAAGAGCTGACTTTCCAATTGGTTTTGAGGTTGTAAATCACACAGGAGGAAACTGCCCATCTCTCTCCTGTGGAGCAGCTGGTGAATCTGAACCACTAGAGAGGCATGGGCTTTGGGTTAACAGCACAACTCCCTACATACGAGGCCACCAGAGCTCCCTAACTGCATGAAAGTAATAAGCACCCTCAAAAATAAAACAGGCATCTTCACGAACCTGATCCACAATTGAGCTCCTGAGGCTCCTATACCAAAACTGCATGTCTTGCAACGTTCTTTACCTGAATTGATGAAAATGATAATCTTCTAATTTCTTGAACTAAATATCTTAGAACCTCTCATTATCAAACACTAGCATCTAATCTGTTAGCAAATTGTGTAATATCTGTCTTCAAATAATTCTCCCTCTACTGACTGCTGCCACTTTGATTGGCACCATCATCATCTCTCACCTAGGTTACTTGAAGCAGCTTTCTACTTGTGTGTCAATCCTCAGTCTCCTGTAATTCATTCTTGGTATAGCAGTCAGAATGATTTATTTTATTCCTAAATCAGATCAGATCACTTTTCTGTTCAAAAATCCTATGATAGCATCCCATTACAATGTTGTTAATTGTTATTGTTATTATGTGCCATCGAGTCGCTTATGACTCATAATGACACTATGTACAAGAGCCCTAAATCCTGCTCTATCCTGTGCCAACCTTATTGTTTCTGATACATCTATTCCCAGTACCCCAGTCACTAAATCGATAAATCTCATCAAAGGTCTTCCTCCCTTGTGTTGTTCCTCTACCCTCTCAAACATGATGCTCCTCTCCAAGGACTGGTCCCCCGTTGCAACATATCCGAAGTATATCAGACAAAGCTTCAGTATCCTTGCCTCCAAGGAGCAGCCCAGTTTCACCCTCTCCAGGACAAATCTGTTTGTTTTTTCTAGCAGTCGATGGTATATTCAACACTCTTCTTCAGCACCACGGCTCAAAGGCATCGATTCTCTTTCTATCATCCCTAGTCATTGCACTAGGAAAAAAAAATTCAAAGATCCTAAATATTCTAACTCTTTTTATTACTCTTCTCTCCTTGCTCATTTTCCCATCTATTCCTGCTTCTTCAGTGTCTTTTAGGTAATTTTTCTCTCTTTCCTCTACACCTAGATCAGTGGTTCTCAAAGCATGGTTCACAGAGCAGCAATAGCAATACTGGAAACATCACAGAAATGACATGTCATGTCTCACTGCAGACATATTATACTTAAAGCTTTGAGTAGGGTCCAACAATATGTCTACTAGGAAATCTTCAAATGGATCCTAAGGCTAATTGAGAGCTAATTCCCTACATATCTACACAAGTAACTTCCTCTCCTCTTCAAGTCCATACCCAAACATCACTATTAAATGAGTTCTACTCTGACCACTGTTGAAAATTTTACCCACACTCCTCCACCTGTACTCTCCAACATCTCTTACTGTCTTCCTTTGCACTTCCCTCTATAATCTTCATCTTCTTCTAAACTACTATACAATTTGCAATTTTGTCATATTCATTATTTGCCCCCCCCAGAATGAGAGTAGAACTTTTTTTTCAGTTTCTTTCATTGACATATTTATCCTTGAAGAGAAAAACAAAACCAAAAGTATTGCACATAAAACCCGGCACATCATACAAGTTAGTGTTTAACCATCTTTAGTACTCAGGGATACCAAGCACACTATAAGCACAGAAGATCTACTGAATTAATTAAGTGAATAGGGAGATGGAGTTGAATTGATAAAGTTAGTGGAAGCAATTATGCACATAAAATAATCCCAACTAACAGGCAGGGAATCCAACAGTTGGCGTGTGGAAGCCTGAGTGTCACCTCATTCCACTGGAAGGAATGCGGGGGTAAAATGCATCTGGATATTAGCGTTCCTGTCACACTTGTTTTCTGGAACACAGAAGCAGTCTAGGCATCCTGATCACGGTCCACCTTCCTTTCCAGAATTACTAGGAAAGCAGAAGAATTCAGATAAATGTCTTCTTCTTTCAGATTACACAAGACCTACACAAGATGAGCTGACATAGTGACTTCAACAGTGGCTTTAAGTACAGGGATCATGAGAGTGGTGCAGAATTGTGTAGTTTTGTTCTGTCGTACACAGAGTTGCTATGAGTCAGAATCAGCTCAATGGCACCTATCAACTACAACAATCATTAGTGTTATTTGGTTTCCCAAAGCCATGAGACACCACTCCTATGAGAGTGGGAAGTTCATTCATTACATTCCTGGACATGGATCTTAGTTTAGAAAGTTGTCTTCATGACTCTTACATCCTCTGAGTTTATTTGCAAGTAGAGGGTTAGAACAGCTCTTTGTCTTTCTATTTAGGAGTCTGAAGTGTATTAGAAACAAATGTAAGGTGATTTCATCATTGACATCAAGTAGTTTCTGACTCATAGTGACTCTCTGTGGGTTTTTTTAGGCTATAAATTGCTATAGAGAGAGCTTGCCCATTTCCCTCCCTCTAGGTGATTTAGAAAGGCAGAAAAGATCAGAGAAAACAACCAATTTAAAGAAAAAGTCCTTTCTGTGTACCAACTCCAGCACTAAATTTTTATGCTTGAATTTCACCATGACCTCAGGTCAATGACTACCCTTCTCGTGTCAATATAACAATAATTTTACAAATACAGGTGCAACAAAACACAGACACCTTTGCTACGTTATACTTGCAAATTCATTGTTAAGTAAATGCACAATTTTGATGAACTCTTTTCCAAAGAACAATGCCAAGAAACATATAACTAAATAAACCAGATTGTTTTGCGGCCATGTTTTAAAAGCTTAACACAATGTATTTCTTTGTGAGCATCTATTGTTTTATTGCCCTTAATAGGGTCAGATATGTGTTTCTAGAATTACTAACCTAAGCAAAACCACATCTATGGAGGATTGAGAAAGGAACCTCTTTAATCTCTACAACATAAATGATGGTTACATTAATATCACTCAATGCTTTTTTGGCTCTCAACTATCTAATAGCTTTATTCGAGTACAACAATAAAACCTGTTAAGGGAAATGAGGAAACAGCTTGGGGAGTATTGCTCTTAGCATTTAATAGTGTATTGGAGTCTTGGTGCTTGTCTGTGTTTGCTTGGAATAAGTATCTAAGGGAAAATTAAGTTCTACACTGATGCTACTATTTGAGATCCAGAGAAGGCTCTTGGGAATAGTTTGGCTTTCTGTGACAATGGATTTTCTGATGAACGACACCATTCCCTAATGAAAAAGACCTGGCACCACTTCATATGACAAAATTTGACCAATGTGAGGAGCGTGATTATCAGTTTGGGAATGTGCAGTTTAATAAAAGAAACATGAAATCGGCTGTGCCTTGGCAGGCCATACCCCTCACCATCATGTGAGCTGTCATTCTGGTCCCACAGATGATACCCACCACGCCACAACTGTTCAGTTTCCTACTGACAACATTGACAAAGCTGGCACAGAGACAAAGACACATCCAAAATGGTCATGTGAGATTCTGCTTTTGTAGTCAAATTAAAAAAAAAAAAATCTACTCCTCCTTGCCTTCTTCTTCCTCTTGCCTTCCCTTCCAAAAAAACACATAAGGGAATAGTTTTGAGGCTCCATCAAATCTATTCAACATATACATTTGTAGACAGGCATATAAACAGAACAAGGGGACACTGCATAGTTAGAAATGAGGAAACGTGTGTATCAGGATTATATCTTTTCACCATACTGTTCAACCTATATACTTCTGTACATGAAGATAAAAGTCACCTTTCCTAGAATGGGCAAAGACTTATGCTATCAAAACATATTACATATCAACATGAAAACAAAATTCCTCACAACTAAATCACAAATATCATAATAAATAGAAAAATTTGAAATTGTCAATGATTTAATTTTATTTCTATTAGGTACTACATTAGTGCTTATGGAATTCATGGTCCAGAAACTAAAAAAAAAAAAACCATATTGTACTGGAAAAAATTTTTTTAAAAGGCCTCTTTGAGGTATTAAAGAGCAATGATTTTACCTTGAGGAGTAAGGTGAGTCTGACCCAAGTCCTATTTTCAACCCAAAATTTATGGTATTAGTACAGAACACTGAATTCATTATGGAATACCAGAAGGACAAATGTATCTGTCTTGGAAAAGAAACAATCAGACTTCTCCTTAATGGTGAGGACAGTAAGACGTTCTCTTGCTTTTTTGGAACATGTTATAAGAACAGCACGCTTTGTAAAGCAGAGGGCCAGCATAAAGAGGAAAGGCTTCAATGAGGGGGACAGTGACTGCAACAATGGACTCAAACATAGCAATGATTGTGTGAGGCTGTTTGTTGTTGTTAGGTGCCATTGAGTCAATTACAACTCATAGAAACCCCCTCAGCAACATATCTGAACCTTGTCCCATCCTGTGACATCCTCACAACCTCTGACACACGGGAGCCCATTGCTGCATTCACAGTGTCAACCCATCTGGTTGAGGGTCCTCCTTTCCTTCAGCACCCCCTCTACCTTTCCACACTGGGCTGTTATGGGTCAGAACTGACTCAATAAAATCAACATACAGGCAGAAATTTTTAAAAGGAGGCACTTGTAGAAAGAAAAAAGTAAACCTGAAAACCTTTAAAAATACTTTACAATGACATTGTAAGAAATAAAGAAGAGATAAAAAATAAACCTTGAATTACATAGAGTCAGACAGTAAGCTTCATACTATTTAGAGAGTATTTTAAGTTTACACATTCATTAATGAGAAATAGTTTACATTACCCGCATAAATGCTTGATGTGTTCTGCAGCTAGCTCCTTTGCTTGATACCTGTATGCTTCCTGTAACCATGTCGGAAGTGCCATTAGAAGAGAAATAAAATCTCAATGGAGATTCGACCTTTCTGTTCACATCCACACTCATATTGTACAACAAAACTGCAAAAATGTAAAAAGAATTGTAGGAGACACTAAAAAAAGTTATCTAAAAACACTTCTTTTTAAAAAAATGATAGTCATTCATAGAACACTATAATAGCTTAACATTTCTTCATTAGTTCTTTCAATAACATAAAATTTTATTAAATAGCTTAAAAAATAACCTAAGATTTCTAAAACTTAGCAACAAAAAGGATTTTTTAAAATGATGTCAACAATTTTTATTGGTGGCTGCAGAGAAAAGGAACATGACAGCTGCTTCTGAGGTAGTGTTCACAGTCTCAGAGAACTCCAAGAGCAAAAAGGAAAATATTCTTATCATAAAATGAATTCAGGGCTTGACTAGACATTTCACCAAATAAGACATTCAAATTATCTCAAATGTATGAAAAGGTGCTCAAGATTACTAGCCAGCAGAGAGATGCAAATCAAAACCACAGTTACATGCTATTTTGCCCATTAGGATGACTAAGAGAAAAAAAGAAAATAAAAAATAGCAGAAAATAATAAAAGTTGGCCAAAAAAAAAATCTGTCTTAGAAGAAGGAGAGCCAGAATTCTCTTTTCGGTACTTCATCCCAGGTGTTTTTGGCATGCTCTCAGAAGGAATCAACCCATAATGGGCATTACAATTGCTGACTTGCTGATGGTGAGCAAGAAAGAAGATTCTTAACACTTTGGCTTGACACAGGGCCTACAAACATAGGGTCAAACAGGTGTGAGGATGGTACAGGTCCAGCAGGCATTCTGTTCAGGTGTACAGAGAGTCACTATGAGCATTATGCTCTCTTAATAATTCTTTCTATAGAATCATATTAAAAACAGCAACTCAAGACAATAGTTAGGAACCTGAAGGGGCAGTGAATTTAGATTAATAGCAAGAACTCAGGAGGGTTAAGAAGAATTGTACAACTTGAAGAATAGAATGACTGTCATTGAATTTTAAAAACAGAAACCTGAACTGATGCATATTTTACTTATATATTCTAAACATCAAAATAGATAAAATTTAGATAACAATTATAAAACAACCGGTAGTAACTTAAACAATTATTTTATAAGAAGAAAGATTGATAAGGTTTTGTTTGGCTTCCCATTATTAGCAATATTAGTAATCAGTTACTCTCTTAATTCTCCTATATACAAAAGTTTCAAAGCAATTAACACATGATTATTAATTATAAAAGCACTTAGTAGGCTTCAGATATATTTGGAATCCTTCTTGTCCTGAAAACATCTTACCAAGGAAACACAGGCAGAGAATTGTGCTGAAAGCCACTTGAAATATTTGTTTTGTGTAATTACAACATCATTTTCATATATAGCTGACTCACTCACTCATTGTCATCAAGTTGGAACCAGTTCGTAGCTGACTCTCCAGTGGGAGAAACTGCTCTTTTTTTCTCCAAGGGAGCCTCTGGTAAATTAGAACTGCCAGAGGTGCTGCTGCCTCTAGGCCAGCAGTCCAGCTCCCTGTGGACTGGGCCACCTGAGCTCTTTCACATACAGCTAGCATCATTTTCTTTATTCTCAATTTTAGAATTTATAGTATTTCTTTTTTGGCTTAGTTTAATTTTACATAAAATGAAATGTAATTCAGAAGTTAACCCATCTAAAACTTCACTCAAAGATGTCTCCTTTCGAGTCTTTTCTTCCAATTAGCCTTGCTTTGATTGGCTTCTACTTTTACCAATAACATTTTGTCCTTTTTTGTTTTTTAGAAAACAAAACCAAGCCCAAATATATGCATTTTTTTTCAAAATATATTCTGGTTATTTCATGAGAACTTATTTCAAACCTGAAATAGTGATAATCCAATTGTTAAACAATTATCTAATCAGCAAAAAAGATAAAATATGGATAATAAAATATAACTAAAAATTCCATGTCAGATCTCACCAAGAGAGCCACTTCCTGAATCTAAATGGGTTCTTTGCACAGTAAGCTTTCATGAAGCTGTTGAAATGCCACTTATTAAATAATCCGTAAGTGATACTTTAAAGGATGTATGTAATTCCTAATGGGTCAATTTGTATTTTAGGAGTAACTTACTGGTTAGGTAAAAAAAAAAAAGGATTTAATCAACTTATTTTGAGGAAACATATGTGCAAAATCTTTATTACTGCCATAAATGTCATATAAATCTCTCAGTCTTCTATTTATTTAGGAAATAAATAATAAATTCCAAGCCAATGGACTTCAAAATGACAGTAAGTGAGATCCAATACCTTGGAGAGTGAGCTACAATTGAGATAGCCATCAACAAATTCATCACCCTAACAGAGCTCAGTCAAAAAGCAGAGGAAAAGGGGGTGAAGACAAACCAACATGCAGTTAGAAATAAAATGTGTTTGTATTATTAAACTGGCTAACAATGTGAACTGTTTCTCCCAGGGAGTCGTTTTATGACAATTATAAAGCACGTTTTTGTACCAATGCTGTGATTATTAATGAGCCTGATAGGTAAGTTTTGAATAATTTTTCATACACATCAGGTCACAATGGTATTGGGACTGTAGGAAGCTCTGGTTTTACACACAGGGAAACAGTCATTTATTGAACCTTTAGGTTATCCATCAGCTCATCTGTGTTACTGTGTAATGCATCTGTGTTACTGTGTAATGCACTTTGTCATGCACTCTCAAGCTTCATTTTTCCAATCAATAACTAGAGAAAGACTGGCCCACTCTCCTATCACTTCAGGTCTTATAATTAAAAGCTAATCTGAGAACGAGAACCAAAACAAAACAAAATTTTTTAAAAAGCTTATTTGACCCATAGTTCAGATACCAAGCTCTCTATTTCCATCTCACTTCAAGTTAATCCAGGCTGAGATTTTGGTTCTGTAAATACCGGATGCCTTTCATGATGTTTAGATGACAATAGCCTACAGAGTCTTGAGTATAATCAACTCCTGAGAGCAGCTGATACATTGCAAAATTTGTGAATTAATAATGTCTAAATGGAAAACCCAAGTATAGATTATTCCCAACTATGGGCTAATTTCGCTAGCCAGTCTTATAATACAACAACATAATAAAAACATTAACCTGCTAACAAAACTATAATACAAAGTCACATATGTGTGTGAATTGGGATTGACTATAATTTTGAAAGATCTAAATGCATGGTGCTTTCTACAAAGAAGAAAATGGAAGGTGAGTTGTTTATATGGATATGAAGCAGCAGTGTCTCTCAGGATCTGATATTCACTGTTGTTGTTGTTATATGCCTTTGAGTCACTTGCGACTCATAGTGACCCTATGGACAAGAGCTCTAAACCATGCTCTAGCCTGTGCCAACCTTACTATCCCTGACACACGGACCTCTATTACCCCTTTCATTGAATTGATCCATCTCATTGAGGGTCCTTCTCTCTTGCACTGTCTCTCCACCTTCCCAAGCATGATGTCCGTCTCCAAGGACTGGTGCCTCCTTGTAAAATGTCCAAAGTATATCAGACAAAGCTTCAGAATCCTTGCAAAGAGCTGGAGTCAGAAGATCAAAAGAGCCAAACTCGCTCAGCATTTATTAAGCTGAAGGAATTGAAAACAAATGTAAGCCATGAGTGGCAATACTTAAGGATGCTTTGGGCAGAATGTTAAATGATCCAAGAAGCATTAAAAGAAGAGTCACTGTACCAAAAGGAATTGGCTAGCACAGAAGGATTTCATAAAACAACGCATGAGCAAGAGCCTGTGGTTATGAAGGAAGAAATTCAAGTTGCTTTGAAAGAATTGGCAAAAATAGGGCTCCAGGAGTTGACGGCATACCACTTGCCATATTTCACCCTGGATGTGCTGAGTTGTACTAAGAAATCTGAAGGACAGCCAGCTGGCCAACTGACTGGAAGAGATCAATATTTCTTCCCCTTCTAAAGAAAGGTGACCCTACAGAGTGTGGAAATTATTGAACAGTTTCATTAATATCACATGCAAGCAAGATTCTGCTGAAAATTGTCCAAAAATGATTGGAGCAACACATCAACAGAATACTGCCAGATGTGCAGGCTGGGTTTAGAAGAGACTGTGGTACTATGGATATTATTCCTAATGTTAGATGGATCTTGGCTGAAAGCAGAGAGTACCAGAGGAATGTCCAACTGTGTTTCATTGACTATGCAGAAGCTTTTGACTGTGTGATCACAACAAATTTTGGCTGACTCTGAGAAGAGAAGGAAACCCAGAACATTTGAGCATGCTTATGTGAAACCTATACTTGAAACAAGGGGCAGTCATCAGAACAGGAAAGAGACACACCTCCTGGTTCAAAATCAGGAAGGGTGTCTGCCAGGGATGTATTCTGTCTCCATACTTTTTCCAATCTGTATGCAGAACAGATCTTCTGGGATGCTGGGTTGTATGAGGAAGAATGTGGCATCAAGATTGGAGGAAGATTCATCAATAACTTGCGTTATGCAGAAAACACAACTCTGCTTGCTGAAACTGAGGAGGACCTGAAGTGCTTGCTGCAGAAGGTTAAGGACTGCAGCCTTCAATATTGATTGCTCAACATCAAGAAAACAAGTATTCTTACCACTAGGCCAATTGGCATCATCATTATGGATGTTGAAGAGTTTGAGATTCTTAACAGTTTTAATTTACTTGGCTCCACAATCAACACTCTTGGTACCAGCAGCCACGAAATCAAGAGACAAATTATACTGGGAAAGTCAGCTGTCAGGGACCTCTTCAGAGTACTAAAGAGCAACAATGTCAGTCTGGAGACTAAGGTGTGTCTGATCCAGGCCATAGTCATCGCAATTGCTTGCTATGCATCAGAGAGCTGGACAATGACTAGGAATGATAGAAAGAGAATTGAGGCCTTTGAACTGTGGTGCTGGAGAAGAGTGTTGACTATACAATGGACTGCTAGGAGAACAAACAAGTTCATCCTTGAGAGGGTGAAACCAAGCTGTTCCTTGGAGGCAAGAATTCTGATATTCATTGTAAGTCACTAGTAGATGTGCATTATTTACAGTAATGACCTTCACTTCATAGAAGTTTTTTCAATTATTGAAATAGTATATAAAGTAAGAAAAGAATCTTCTTGCCCCCAGATCTCCTAGTTAATCCAGCCTGATGCTTTACAGAACCCAATAAGGCAAAGGGGTTGGTTGCTGCATTGACGTTCGTTACAAGGAAAGGGAATTTTACAGATTAACTGGTTAACTTTAACCAACTATAGCAAAATATATGCCTGTGTTGCTTTGATTCTTTCCATAACCTCTGCATGACTACAATCTCCTATGTGTCCTACTCACTAATTATAATAATGTAAGAATCTGGAAGATGCAGATGAAATGTATTTATCAAGTGGCTGCTGCTTCTTGTTTTAAAAAAGATATTTAGAGTGAAACAATGAGGCCTCAAAAGATGATTGTAATATTAATCCACTGCATGCATACTCCATTGAGATATCAGTGATATAAAAGCACACTTACCAATATAACCTGGAACCTCTTTGCCTTTATATGAAAAGCAGAGTTTTAGATCTATGCATACAGAAGGCAAGCCATTTTCAATGCAGTCGAATCTCGTTCTATTCACTGACTCAGGATGGTATAAAGAAGCTTCAACAATCACTACAGGTCTTGTCCTAAGAACAAAATAAAATAATATTAACTATTCACAGGATTATTTTTCCTTATGCATACTAACAGCAGCATTAATTTTGTTTGTTTGCAGTATCCAGGTAATTTCCCGAGTTGGTTTTATTAATAGTATGTGCCTGTAAACTCAATTGCATTTTTATGTAATGATAAGGAGACTTTTCCATGTAAATGTCTAAAATTGTTTACTTTGCTGGTGACTTATCAAATTATAATTATGTCAGGTAGGAAAACCTATGAACCTGAAGAGAGGATGAAAGACACCCAAGCATTGACGACTCTCCTTCATAGGGTCGCTATGAGTCACCTACGACTCAACGGCACTTAACAACAACAACAGGAAAAATACCTTAGTGTTCAATAATTAAACTTCACAATACCAAAAGAGCATTATGAGGTCACTAGCACTGCTGATTTAAAATATTGCCTCCCATCATTTACAATTAGGCCAAATTGTCATTAAGCAGCGAAACATATCAACTTTACCTTAGCAGCACAGCAGAATCAGAATGAAAGGCACCAACTGCTACATCTGGAGGATAAAAAAATAACAACACAGATTAATGATCATCATTAGTCAACCAGAATTACTTTTCAGGCATAAATACTTAACTACATCTCACCTTTTGACTATATCTAAACATGATTTACAGAAAATTAATTGGGAAAGATATGCTAACATCTTAAGATTTATTTTACATTTGTCTGAATGCATTAATTTTCAGTAACCACTATTATTTTATAATATAGTATAGTTATAAATTTTATGATACAAAGATAAGCTTACTAAACAAAAATCTTTATTTTCAGACTAGAAACATTGACTCAGACACCTGTCTTCCAAATTAAGAAACAAATTGTTTTTCTTTCTTTTCATGATCATATGATTGACTTTACGATTGACTTATTTTTTATGTACTTCACATTAAAGCAATATCTACAGCTTGGCTAATTCAACTAACGAAATAAGGTGATTTTACCCTTACCTACATATCCATTATTATCAGCATCAATTTGTCCAGATATAGACTGTCCAAACATACTTAATGATTTACTAATTTGGCGTCCTTCAATCCTCTGAAAAATAGGTACATTTATTTAGGTAAAAGAATATGAATATTATTTTAATATAATATTTTCATTTTTATTTTAAATAATTATAATATTTAAAGTAAGGAAGCCGTTTTTAAACACCTGATATCCCAGAGAAGCAGTGAAAATTCTCATGCCCCAGTACAGGTATTAATAAGATACATTTAAGGCAATGTTTCTAAGATAAAAGAATGATTTGCTGTTTGGAGTAAGCAGCTGATACCTATTTTATGACTAAAAAATTATTCTCTACAAGCTAACAGAAAATTATGTATAGATCTCTTTAAAACAATCCAGTCTTCTCCCCTACCCCTCAACTCCTGTCTTCCTTCAGGCTCTATTTTTATTCGCCTGACCAAGATGAATAACTGAACAAGTAAACCGGAAAAGAAGACATCCATAATAATTTAGAGCCTCCTCCTAGTAGGGCTTAACATGAAAGGCACCCTGTTTAGCCAGATTGCTTCCTAGCAGTTAACAGGAACATTCCAAGTCAGATACGGGCTTCTTATTCCATATGTCTAATTTCATGTCCAGACACTAATTTATAAATAGCAAGCTGCCAGCTACACTGAGAGAGTTGGTTGGGTTTGTTTGTGGTTTTTGGTTTTGCTTTTTCTCCTTGAAAAGTTAGGCATCTTTCATGTTAAATTCAGGATTCATTTGCTCATTTTTGCCTAATTAAAAATAATGTGTGCAGGAAAATATCTTTGGATTAACTTTTCTTTGTGGCATATGCATGTAGGGTTTTGTGTGCACCGAAATGACATCATTTTTTCAGCTAGTGAAGTCCGAGTTAGAGCATTTTATTAAAATGCTTTCATTCTACCACTCTGCATGAAAAGAAACCCAAGCACCCAGCTTTCTCTCTATGCCGTCCTCAACCACTATACAGCATTAACCTCAGTGCAAGACACAGCTAATCAAGTCCAAGTGGACTTTGCTGGAATAGTGCGGATGCCTTTTGAGCATAAATTTGATGGAATTTAGAAAGACTTTAACAGGTTAGAGAGAAACTGGAATGACTGTGAACTTGACCTTTTGTTTATGGGTGGAAAATAGCATCTCAAGAATGAACTAGAAAAACAGTCCACATTTTACTTGAATATTTTAAGAATGCTTTTATTCTAATTTTTTTGTGTTTTGTCTTTGTTTGCTTGTATGTTTTTAACAGACAGACAAAACAATTTGTTTGTTTTTAATAGTCTCATACCTGTGAGAAGCCTGGGGAGATCCCATCCGCTCGGCCATTGTAAATATAAATAGCGCCCCGCAATTCATCTTCTTGTGGAGCCCCAATAGCAACATCTACTCAAGGATGGAACAAAGGATGGGAAATTAAGGAGATTTTGACCCAAAGTCTCTGGTCAGAGTGAAAGCAATTTGGAAATCTAACGTTCATTATCCTTAATTCTGAATGCATCATATTATCTTCCTCTTATAAACAAAACAAGCTAAATAATTAGAACCTTTCTCCCTAGGCAGGAAAAAAGAATTAGAATACAGCCACATGAAAACAACATACAAGGCCATGGAGAACTGCACTGCAAGGTGGACGTGGACCCGCGGCAGTGATGAGAGCACAGTGGACGAGGGCTGGGGTCAGGCACTGGCCTGACCCTCGCTCCGCCCTGGCGTGACTCTGGGCTTGTTTCTTAATCTCTCTGCGTCCCAATGACTCCAAATACAGAAGAGGATCATATTAACATCCCCCCTCAGCATGAAAGAACATAATGGGTGTAAAGGGCTTAGAGTAGTGCTTATCGCTTAGTACATTATAAATATGAAAATTATAATCACAATAATCTTTATTTTGAGCACTGAGCTCTAATGTATCTTTAATGTATCTGCAAAATGACATCTAAATGAATTCTTTATTCCAATGACAGTAATTACTGCAGTATTAAGGATATCTATACATGCACACATACAGACAATGGATTTTAGAAAGTAAGATTTTCTTATTGGAATTTTTTCATATTGGGACACTGGGAAAAAATTGAAAAACAAACAAAAAAACCCCAACACATCTGACCAAGTGAGATAAGAAAAAAAACACACCCCAAACTATAAATGGAAGGGAGCTTGGATGCTATACGCAGCACATAAGACTGCGTGTGCATGTGTGTGTGTATTTATAGTTATAGTTGTTATAGTTATAGTATTTATTTATATTTATAGTTATAGTTATAGTTATATTTGTATTTATATTTATATTTATATTATTTATCGTTGATTGTCTTTGAGTGGAGCACGACTCATAGTGACCCTATGAACAAAAGGCCTGAAACTTCTCTACAACTATCGACATTTAACAAAGTTCATAGAGTTTCTGGAGGCATGTTGTTTAGGAAGTGGATGCACTTTTTAATGCAAATAATACATGATTTATACACCTATTTACCAATCATTCCCTCTCTTTACCTAGCTCTCTATCCTGGTAGATATGTCCACCAACACTGTTAAGGTAATAGTGCATTTACAAAATACATCTGGGGTGGGAAAAAGGAAATAGCCGGCAAACAAATGTAAAAGATTTACACTATTTGCATATAAATATGGTATACAAATATATCACAACTTGAAGTTGCAGCTGTTGAGTTGTTTTCGAGGCTGTAAATGGTGTGGGAAGAGGCTGTCCATCTTCCTCCCACTGAGCAACTTACTGGATTCAAACTGTCCAGGAAGAGCTGCCTTTGTGTACAGCTTGACTCACGACAGACTGTGACTCCAGAGCTCGCCTATATACACACAGAGAGCCACGTATTTGTTTATAGATAATATTCTCTCACTTTTCACTACCAAGTTTATGCCAAATATCATGTTTTCTCCTAATATTTTTATTGGTTTGCATATAAAACATTGTGTTTCATGCATGCACACTGTATTTCATATAGTCTTTCATTATATTTTTATTTATATTATAATTTTTTATATAATTAACTACTTATATACTTATATAAATAACTACTGTTATTCTGTGCCTATTTTTACTCAAATGTCATGTAATTTTTAAAGTGCAAATTTTTTCCTAGTTTTCTTTATAAAAAAGGTAGGCCTCCTCCCTATAGCCCTTTCTTTATTTAGATATAGTAAGACTAACCTATTTTGACCTGAATATATGATTTTAAATACTTTCATAATAATGCATCCATTTGTGGATGCTTATTAAACATCTACTCTATTCTAGGCAAGAAGTCCTGGTGGCGTAGTGGGTTATATGTTTGGCCATTAACCAAAAGGTTTGAATCTACTAGCTGCTCCAAGGGAGAGAGATAGAGTAATCCATTTCTGTTAATATTTATAGCCTTGAAAACCCAAGACTGGATTGTTCTGAGTTGGAATTAAGTCTACAGCAGTGGGTGGGGATTCCAGGCAGTCGTCAGGAACTGGTGTTACAAGATAGTATCACAGAAAGAAACCCATAATGTACTTGGAGAGATCAGCGAATGAAAACAGAATAATCAACAAGTGACAACAGAATAAAAACAGCATGTCAGGAACAGGAGTTAGAAATCATCAGGACAGGGCAAGGCTCAGATCTGTTGTTCATTGGGTCACTATGAGTGGTATGACACAACACAACAACAACACAAGCATCAGATAACGCCCAAGCCAAGACTAAAGGACTTGTAAGCCATAACCAGGTCAAGATGAGGGAAAAGCAGCACAGACTAAGGGAGCAGCCTAGGCAAAGGCAGGGCAACAGAAGACAAAGCACATGTGAAGTATGGCAATTAGTTGGATCAATTGAAGACAAAAATATGCAATACGTAAGCACATAAAGAAAAGAAGAGCAAAGGAAGTGGAGTGCAGGAGGAAGGGAAGAAGGAGGAGGTGAAAGGAAGAGGGGAGAAGTATCTTGTAGCCAAGGAAGAGATGTTGTTGCTGTTAGGTGCCATCAAATTGACTACAACTCATAGAACAATGGATCTGAACTATGCCCTGTCTTATGTCAGCCTCATTATCTCTGATATACTTGAGCCCACTATTACAATCACTGTGTCAATCTATCTGGTTGAGTGTCTTCCTCTCTTTCAACTATTCAAGCATGGTATCTTTTTCCAAGGGCCATTCCCAATTAACAACATGTCGGAAGAATGTGAGATAAGGCTAAGGACCACCATGGTTGCCCTTTCTCCAAGACACATTTGTTTCTTTTTGGCAGTCCATGGGATGTTCGTTACTTTTCTCCAACACCACAATTCAAAGGCATTGATTCTTCTTCTGTCATCTTTATTTATCCACTGTCCAACATTTGGCTGCATGGCAAGTAAAGGAAAAGACCATGACTTGGATTAGGTGTGCTTCAGTCTTTAAACTGACATTGTTACTCTTTAACACTTTGGAGTGGTACTTGACAGTAGATTTTCCCAATGTAACATGTCTTTTGATTTCATGACTGCTGGTACCAATCGTATTATGATTCCAAGTAAGATGAAATAGTTGAAAAATTCAATCTTTTTTAAATCTATCATGATGTTGACTACTGGTCCAATAGTGAAGATTTTTGTTTTCTCTTTCCTTTGCATCAGAAAGCTGGACAATGTCTAGGGATGATAGGAGGAGAATTGATACCTTTGAGCTGTGGTGATGGAAAAGAGTATTGATTATACTATGGACTTCTGGGAGAACAAACAGGTTCATCCTGGAGAGGGTGAAACAAGGCTGTTACTTAGAGGCAAGGATTCTGAAGCTCTGTCTAACATACTTTTGGCATGTTGCAAGAAGGGGATCAGTCCTTGCTTAGGGACACTATGCTTGGGAGGGCAGAGGGACAGTGCAAAAGAGGAAGACCCTGGATGAGATGCATTGACTCAGGGACTTGGGTAATGGGGGGTAGGTGTGTTAGAGACAATAAGGTTGGCTCAGGATAGAGCAAGATTCAGAGCTGTTCAATGAGTCACTGGTGACTTGATGGCATATAACAACAATAACCACAACATATCCTTTGTACACGTCCATTCAATCTGAATGCTGAGCAAGTTACTCAGGAAGTTGGATTTTATGAATATGTGGCATTAGTACTGGAGAAAGACTCAACAACAGCCTAGGTTATGCAGGTGACATAATCATGTTTTCTCAAAGTCAGAAGTACTTAAAATGCTTACTGAAAAAGAGCAAAGACTATATTATCTTCAATATGGATAATACTTCAACATCAAAGAAACAAAAATCTTCACCACTAGGCCAATAGGAAGGCATGACCAATTGGTAATTTCAATAATCTTGGATAATTTAATACTTCCACGATTTTAACCAAAGTCTGGCTAACTAGAAGTACTTTGATTCTTGATAATATTAAAAAAAGAGCAAGTTTTGGTTATAAACGTGTTGATACACAGAAATTCTAAGGAAGTTCAGTGAACACCACTATCATTCAGATATATGCACCAACAATCAGAGCCAAAGAAGAAGAAATAGATGATTTCTACCAACTCTTACAGGCAGAGATAGATCGAACATGCAATCAAGATGTAGTGATAGTAATGGGCGACTAGAACGCAAAAGTTGGGAACAGGGAAGAAGAATCAGTAGTCGGAAAACGCACTTGGTGACAGAAATGAAGCTGGAGATAGAATGATTGAATTTTGTACAATCAATGACTTATTCACTGCAAATACGTTTTTTAAGAGACATAAACGTAGATTATACACATGGATTTCACCTGATGCTATGCATAGGAATCAGATCGATTAAATCTGTGGAAAAAAACCGCTGGAGAAGCTCAATATCAGCTGTGAAAACTAGGCCAGGAGCTGATTGTGGAACAGACCACCAACTACTCATATGCAAGTTCAAGCT